CAAAATTAAATAAAAATATAAAATTAAAATTATAAATGTAAAATAAAAAGTATACATTTAATTATTAGAGAAATAAGTCTAAAAATAAAGTATGAATGTATACATTCATAATTTGTAACCATTTATAAATGTTTTAAAGACAAAAGTATTTAAAATTTGATTTATTACAAAAAAAATTAAGAATAAATTTGACTTGTTTTATTTGAAAAAGTAATTATTATTAAAAAAAAATTTAATTCATAACTATAAATGTAAATGTGCATATATATGTATATATAGGCCTAACTCAAACTCAGATGTCTTTTTTTACTTCCCTAGGTGGCTGATTTACAATGACCACAAAATATGTTTGTCAGAGAGGCCCCCTAAAGACTTGGGCTACATGTACTTTTACCGGCGCCTGTCAAGCTGCTAGATCCGGACCTTCACATCCTTACGCACAGCCGTTAGGCCAGAGGTGTGTGGGGGGCACCACTGACACAAAGTATGAATGTATACATTCATAATTTGTAACCATTTATAAATGTTTTAAAGACAAAAGTATTTAAAATTTGATTTATTACAAAAAAAATTAAGAATAAATTTGACTTGTTTTATTTGAAAAAGTAATTATTATTAAAAAAAAATTTAATTCATAACTATAAATGTAAATGTGCATATATATGTATATATAGGCCTAACTCAAACTCAGATGTCTTTTTTTACTTCCCTAGGTGGCTGATTTACAATGACCACAAAATATGTTTGTCAGAGAGGCCCCCTAAAGACTTGGGCTACATGTACTTTTACCGGCGCCTGTCAAGCTGCTAGATCTGGACCTTCATAACATTATGCACAGCCATTTGACCAGAGAGGTGTGTGGGGCACCACTGACACTGCTGGAAACTAGGGAAGCATTTACATCTGTGAGATGGAGAGAGAACCTCTCAGTCCCTGCCAAGACCCACACAGACGCTCATACCACAGGAACGGTCCAGCAGGGAAACTAATATGTGCCATCCATCTGAGTTTTGTTTATATGTTCGTCTCCTGTCTGCTTTAAAGGTACAGTGGGGTGCGTGCAATTTTAGGTATGCAAATTATTTTCCTAATATATTCTCAAAGTATTTGTTATATTTCTCTTTGAATACTTTAAGCTCCTGTGCCAGTATTTTCAAGACATACTTCTTTTGAAAATATAAAGTGTGCCTGCATTTACAAATGTTTTTACTGCCATCTCAGCAGAATGTACTCACTGCAATTCCTTTGGGTTTTACAGTAGTTCAACAACAACAAAAAATCGGTCAGAATGGATTTCGAATAGAGATCACGCTTAGTGGATTTTGTTGAAGCTGCAATCGATCCAAAACATAATGTGATTATTTGGGGGGAAACTCTTATTTAAAAATATATATATATATATATATATATATATATATTCTAGCATTCAGAGTGATCCAAAAATGTGGCACCATCGATTTATTATTTAAAGGAATAGTTCACCCAAAAAATTTAAATCTGCTGAAAATTGAGTCAACATCAGGCCATCCAAGATGTAGATTCCCAGTATTTTCAAGACATACTTCTTTTGAAAATATAAAGTGTGCCTGCATTTACAAATGTTTTTACTGCCATCTCAGCAGAATGTACTCACTGCAATTCCTTTGGGTTTTACAGTAGTTCAACAACAACAAAAAATCGGTCAGAATGGATTTCGAATAGAGATCACGCTTAGTGGATTTTGTTGAAGCTGCAATCGATCCAAAACATAATGTGATTATTTGACAAAACTTGTTCTTTGAATCATGCCCATGCAGGAAAAAGTTTTAGCAGGCATGTTTATTGAAATATTGGACTATGGTTCTTGTTTGGTAGGTCTTAGTTTGCTGTTAGATATTTATTCTAGCATTCAGATTGATCCACGTATGTGGCACCATCGACTTATTCTTTAAAGGAATATAGTTCACCCAAAAATGAATATTTCCTGAAAATCGACGTCCAAGATGTAGATGAGTTTGTTTCTTTATCAAAACAGATTTTTGCAGAAATTTAGCATTCACTTTCTCATATATATATATATTCTAGCATTCAGAGTGATCCAAAAATGTGGCACCATCGATTTATTATTTAAAGGAATAGTTCACCCAAAAAATTTAAATCTGCTGAAAATTGAGTCAACATCAGGCCATCCAAGATGTAGATTCATTTGTTTCTTCATCAGAACCGATTTGGAGAAATGTAGCATTACATCACTTGCTCACTTGCAGTGAATGGGTGCCCTCAGAATGAGAGTCCAAACACCAAATAACAGCATCACAATAAATTCACAAGTAATCCACACGACTCCAGTCCATCAGTTAACATCTTGTGAAATGAAAAGCTGCATGTTTGTAAGAAACACACACTTCACAAGATGTTAATTGATGGACTGGAGACGTGTGTAATGCTTTTATCAGCTGTTTGGACTCTCATTCTGACGGCACCCATTCACTGCGAGCAAGTGATGTAATGCTAAATTTCTCCAACTCTGTTCCAATGAAAAAACAAACTCATCTACATCTGGCCTGAGGATGTCGATTTTCATTTTTGGATGAACTATTCCTTTAATGGAGGTTTATTCTGCCTAGAAGCACAAGTTTGTTCAGTTTCCATACCTTTAGGCAGAAGTGAACTTGTACTTTTATGTTTTTTTTTTTTCATAATCAAGAACATTGAGCCTCATTTATCGGCATGGCTTTAAAAATATTTCATTTGTACAATATTATCACGTTCAACTTTATGATAGCTTTCAGTCAGTCTGTGATAGCTGATCAGAAAATGCAACAATATCACATATTCATGCAATGTTTAAGTGCTTTACTTTGATAATATCTTTAGCAGTTTAAAGACTGGGATGCATTTGAAATCGTTCCGTTTCATTGATTTCCAGTCTCAAAGAATGTAAAACTATTTTTATCCCATACCTAAGCAATATGTGATGACATACTGCATATAGAGCAGAATTATATGTAGTGTCATACATAGAACTATCTCAGATACATGTATGTATTGGTGCTCAGTGTTACCAAATCTCAAGCTCTTAAGCTTTATGACATATCTGAAGACTTGGCTCTGCCTCCAACACCCTTTACCAATTTCTAACCTTAGACATATCATTTATTTGCTGAAAAATTCATGTCATCAGGTAATGTCATTACCTAACAAAACCTGAACGCTTTCTTGGCAAGTATTCTTTAAAGTGTTTTGTTACACAGTGAGCCTCAGTCTGAAGGTTAGTGCTGAATTAAAACGTAATCTTCATTGTTTTACAACATAATCTCACTCAGGCTGAGGTGGGGCCTGTTCATCTCAATTTATTTCAACTGGATGTTGCACATTCTGTTGTAGATTGTACCCTGTCATGTTTATTTCTATTGTGCACTACCTGTTATGTTGGGAGGTCAGTGTCTTTTGTCCCTTTACCTTGTGCGTCTGTCTTTCTTTGGCTTATCCATCCGAGGTTCTCTCACTCTTTCTCTCCTTCGCTTTCTTAATTTAAACGAATATTCATAGCCATTTCCTCCTGCTTCTCTTTCTCTCTTTTATTCTTTCTGTTCTCTTTTTGTCTCGATATTGGGTGTGAAAGTGGATGCTTTTACCTCACCTTTCTCAAACATGCCTTGATTTTATTTTTTTTCAGTATGTGCACTAAAAATCTGAGGTTAGTCGGTTGACATTTTGCAATATATTATTGATCTTTAGTGGGTTCTCTTTTTCATGGAACTGAAGGTTAAGTGGTATGTTTTTATTGTTGATTTTTTTTTTTGCAAAAAAAATGTGTGCCAATTCTGTAGTTACTATACAAACTTGCCCACTTGTTTGTTATAAGTTTTTTAATGGATTTTCTGATCCATATATTGTTTAGAAACACAAATGCAGCAGATGAAATACGAAAATCTGTTCAAACATACTCGTGACTCATAATGTTTGGATTGTTCAATAAAATCCACAATTGTTGTTCTGTGCCATTTTCATGTTTTGGTGATGCCAGATTGGAAACAGGAGATTTCAACCGTGGAACCAAAAACGAACAGATAAATGCACTCGTGGAAATAATTTTTTAACAACCAGGCAAACAAACTCTATTCCAATATTTTATTCGAAAAGATAACTTTTGTTTATGGATCTATCTTTTAAATATTGGGCCAGAGTTAATAAAGCCTAAGGCAAACATTCAGAAAGCCTGCATGTACAAATTCAACAACAGCTCTGAATGATGCATAACATATATTTGCGTCTCTATTTCTAAAGGCTTTAGTAAATCTGGCTATTGCAATAGTAATATAAGTGACTATAAAGAAGGTCTTGTTGAGATTACTCACTGCATTGCAAAAACTGCTTGTTTGTACATATTTTACAGTTGTATTCTTTAGATCAATATATATTTTGAAATGCAAAATATTGTGATTACAGTGATATATAAGTCATAGAAATGAAGGGTATAGATTAAAATAGGCATGTCAAGGTCATGCATATAAATAAATCTACAGCATTCAAAAATAAGTATATTCGGCATGCGATCATACATCAGGAGTACTTCTGGAGCATGAATTCATCTAGACAATCACACCTGAGATTGTACAAAGTTCTAGAAAAGGGGAGGTTTGGCCTCAGGCATGAGAGAATCTACAGTATCTAATGTAACATTCAGCTACAAAGCACACGCCTCTTCTAACTGTATCGATGAGCATATACAGGACTTTCCAAATAGTTTTGGATACAGAATAATAAAATAAATACATAGAGCAGTAATTAAATAAATGTAGTAACAATTCATAAATTAATAACACTTGATAATTGGTGCTTGATTGGCTTTGCATGCTTTTTCATTGATATAGTTATTTTAACAAATTAATTATTGAACTAGGTGGGAATAATAAAAACACGATGCTTCAAATAAAAACTCAACTGGATCAGGGAGACTTTTTTTTAAAATAAGAAACATTACTTAGGCTACATCTACATTAATCCAGATACATTTGAAAACACTCCATACACACTAGTGCTTTCAGGGATCCTCACTGAAACGTCAGAAAATGCTGGTAAACAGTTGACGTTAGCCACTGACTTACATAGTAGAGGGAAAAAAATACTGTGGAAGTCGATGGCTACCAGCAAATGTTTGGTTACCAACATTATTTGAAATATCTTCTTTTGTGCTGAACAGAAGAAAGGAACTCATCCATGTTTGGAACAACTTGAGGTTGAGTAAATCTTTCATTTTTGAGAGAAGTGCCCCTTTAAATCATCTTATGCGTAAAACATAGATATCTATAGGTAAAATATGCGTCACATGGCTAAACGTGTCATCATTTTCGAATACGTCTGTTTTCACATTTCACCTTACAACATGAAAACATCATTTCAGTTTTATCCACTCTGAGAGCATCTTCAAAAAGCTCTGTTTTCACAGCACAAAAACACCACCTCAGTGTGAACAGAAGGCCAAAATATAGAGAAAAATATGCATTTTTAAATGTATCTGGATTAATGTAGACGTTGCTTTAAAGTACAATAGACCATCTACAGGGTACTACCAGATCTTCTACCTTCTACCTACCAGTTTTCAAACACAAAAAGTGACAACGCAAGTAAAGCTTTGGTGCTTTAGGCTCTTCTTCTGCTTCCGGCTGCATGAAGGAAAAAAATCTATAGGTTTTGCATAGCATTTTAAAATGTAGGACTTTTCTTGAAGCACATATGCATCATTAAGCACTTGCGTGTTCACACTGATGAGCAAAATAAAACATCATGCAAGCTGGAGATGAACCATAACAAGTAAAATGAGTAACAACGAAAATATTAGGGTATAAAACTGTGCAGCTCACAAATAGTTTGGCTTACATTTTGGGCAGCTTTCCAGTTTTCCTGTTAAATCCAGGCTGATAATTGTGGCAAAAGGGGCAGTATATCTGAAATCCCTGCATCGAATTTTGTAAAATAATCAGCGTAACATTTCAACGATGTGGTATGTTTTACAAAAAGACCTTGATGGAACATAGACTTCTACATCAAGAGGTCAAAGTATGGCAAAGAATGGCTTTTATCTGATATCATACCGATAACATCTCAATTATTTATTTTACATGCAAGATAAGTAAGGCTTTTTAATCTGGTCTGCAAGCTCCAGGAAATAAAGGGGATGATGCAGCAGAGATCAGGTGAGGAGTGTCCAGGGTTGAACTAAGTGCCACCAAAATCTATAATAACCCCACCCTCTCAAAAAAAGAGTGCAATCGAACCAATACATGAAGTCTACGCAGTACAGTACATGTCTAATCAAGTCACTAATGTGAAGTCCTCTCATCAATTGTGAAA